CATGAAACTGGGTATGATACAAAATAAGCAATTGCATTTTTTTATAACACATTTTTCATTATCTTTTAAGTTTATGGTAATAATTAATAACAAGAAAAAAACCTTCATCAATGTGTCTACAGTAATTATTAAAAGGTACGATTAGCAAATTACTATATTGTGTATCCACTTTGTGTAATAATAGGTAATAATATAATTGTAATATTTTCTTCATAATCATAGCGCATTATCAATCATTTACTTTTACTGCTATTTATATCAATTAACCAAATACTAAAAATACAAATGTTTTGCATACAGCAGGTTTTAAAGTCATCAAGTTTCACCTTGGAGCTGGTGATTTTAAAACGCACATCCATATACATGATAGAATATTTGTGGCATTGCAAACAAAATTAAGGAGCTTGTAATACATTCATAATACATACATACAAATGGGCACAAAAGTGAACATTTTAATTGGTATAATTATTATAGTCTGCACGAAAATGGTGGTACATTATATGTGTTTATGAAGCACACTATAAACACCAATTATTTATTGAGCGTTACAAATACACCATTTTTTAAAAAGTGTGTTGAATATCAACAATTGTCACATATTACAATCAACGTGTGATCTTTGGTGTATCAGTATAATTTTTATTATAATACATACATACTATATGCAATATATATGGCAGACAAACTTTAGAAGCTCCTTAATTATGTAAACATGCAAAAAATTTACTTATTTTTAAAATATTTATATTTACACGCAAAGCTTATTTTGTTTATAATCTATACAATCATATAAATGTAATATTCAGTGATAAAATTGTAACATAATAATCCCTAACTTATTTATCTAATTTCAAAGAGAATATTTTACATCGAAATTACAATTTATTTCTTTCCTGCTTGTTCTTAAATTGTATTATTAAATTACTATACTTTACATTATACATTATTTTATTACAATATAGGGCTGAATCAAATTAAACGCAATTTGGATGTTCATTTCTTTATATGTTTTATATACAGCATAAATTCCCACCATGTAAAATAAGCATGCTACTATTTACAATATATGATTCAAGGTCTATTGAAATAAATTCCGTTAAACAAGTAATGTTCTAACTAAATAATTTAACTTCATATTAAAAATAGAAAAAAAGTTTAACGAAATTATAATCCAAAGTAATATAATATTCAATGGATATATATTTGTTAAAATTTTTCCTATTTAAAATATTATTGAATTCAGTACTCAACATTCATATGACAGAAATATATTTTTTTTTTAAATATATACTACCTGATAGCCATCAAAGCTTTAATGGGGAATATGAAGAAAATACTTTATTTAAGATACTTTATGAAACTTGAAATTAAGAGATGAAGAAAGTTTACTGGAGAAGAAATATTATCTTTTAAAAGCTTCGAGTGATTCTCTACTTGAAATTAAAATTTATTTATTTGTGTAGTATTACTATGGTACAATTTTATAAAGGTTTTGTATGATATAAAAAATTAAAGTAACCATAACATATTTTCTTCATTTCTGAAATCTAACCTGCAGATGCATAATATTTTACTTAACACAAATAACGGAACGTACATAGAATTACGGAAAAATTCATACACATTACTAATGTGACGTTTTAAATGCAGATTCTCAATATAAAAAAATGCTATGATGGCTATCACAGGTTCATTTAGAAATTCCAACTCTCAACTGTATAATTTACATTTATACAATATAAAACTAGATTATCTGTTCACAAAAACAATTGTTCATATACAATAGTTCATATACATCACATACATACATATATAAGATTATATATACGTATGCATACATATTCTTGTATATTTTAAGTGATGCCAAAAGGGTGCTTCTAATGTTCTCAGTGCACAATCACGAAAAATAATTAATAGTATGACGATGTTGTACAATTTGAATTATCACTAATTTAATAAAAATTTAAACAGTTTCTATATGTACAACGAGGGGTGCTTTATGTATCTTTACAAGAAATTATTTACAAAATATATTCATTTATATATTACCTATCAAATTAACATTGTATTAATCGTTTTTCTATTATAATTATTCTTATTACTTTTATATATTTATGCACGATTTATCCCAACGTTCTGTTTATGCTTTATAA